GCGACCATAACACAGCCTCCTAATTGCAGATCTGCATTGGTTCTGCCAAGATGACTACACATGCCCCACCCGCTCCATTCAACCCAGCCTCGGAGAACTGGGAGTCGTCTAGTTTGAATGTTTCTTGGAAGCTAACAACCTCTTCAGACTCTGACAATAGGAAGAGGGTGCTCTTCTTAAGCTACTGTGGCTCAGACATTTTTGAGACCACCAAGGTGCTCCTGGCACCAGCAGCCATGCAGACAGTGCCCTGGACAATGCTTCAAAGTATACTCAGGACACTTTATACACCCATGCTATCTAAAATTGTCAGGTGGCATGAATTCAACTGGCAAAATCAGGAAGAAGGTGAGTCAATTAATTAGTATATCGCCGCATTAAGAAAAGCCACATTGTATTGTGAATTCAGGGAACTCGATGAAATTCTCCTGGACAGAATCATATGCGGAGTAAGGGATATTAATCTCCAAAGGTGCTTGTTCGCAAAGCCTAACCTTACGCTGCAGACAGCACTAAACGAAGCCTGAGCTGCATTGTGATCCCAGCCAGAGCGAAGAAGATTGACCACCACAGAATCTCAAAAATCTAGCAGCCCGCCAATTTCACACAGAGCTGTCACCTTGTACCAAGAAAGCACTGAGCGTGTTTTAGGGGACCCCTGCAGCTGACCATAGTCAACGGCACCCTGCCAAGCCACCTCAGCTTAGACTGGTTCGCATCCCTGTGCTTGGGGATGACTGGCATCCACACCGTCCGTGATGATAGCACCAAGAAATTGATCAAGAAATTCACGAATAGGAGTTTGAGCAAGTATACAAGGACACCCATCTCCTTCAATCTCAACCCCAAAATCACCCCCATAAGGATGAAGCCACACAAGGTCCCTTTTGCATTGCAGCCCAAAATAGACAGTCAGCTAGATAAATTAATTGCCCAGGGGGCTTTGGAGCCGGTAGACCACGTCAAATGGGAGACACCCGTAAAGCCGGTCAAATCAGATGGCTCAATCCACATCTGCACGGACTACAAATGTACAATCAACAAGGCCTTACAGCAGAGCACCTATCCAGTTCCTGTTGTACAGCATTTATTACATTCCCTGGGCAAAGGAAAGACTTCCGTGAAATTAGATTTGGCACAGGCATACTAACAGCTATTGGTGGATGAAGCCACCGTGGAAGCACAGACTATTTCAATGATGTCCTGATATCTGTCTCCAACAACAAGGAACTCCTTGGCCAACTAAGAATAGTCCTTAGTAGGTTTCAGAAAGTTGCACTAAAGGTTAAACAGGAGAAGTATCAGATAGTGATGTCCTGGGTCGAGTTTTTGGGTTATTTGAATGATGGCTCAGGAATATATCCACACTAAAGACAAGGCCATTAAAGAAGCTCCCACCCCCAGAAACTAGACAACTCCAGGCTTTCCTGGGACTGTTAAATTTCTATAGTATGTTTTTGCCACAGAAGGTGACAGTGGCCAAACCACCCCACTGATTTTGACCTGGGGCCAAAGGGAAGCCACCACATTTGCTACAGTTAAAAAACTTTTATCATCAGAGAGCATCCTGATGCACTATAATGAGACTATTCCTGTCATCCTAACATGTTATGTCTCCCTGTTTGGTGTCGGGGCCGTCCTCAGCAACCAAATGCCTAACAGGTTCGAGGTCTCAATCACATTCTATTCCAGGACACAATTGGTTACCGAACAGAATGACAGCAAGCTGGACAAGGAGGCACTGGCTGCAGTGGTGGGGATGAAACTATTTCACAAGTACTTATATGGCCGCAAATTCAAACTGGTGACTGACCATAAACCACTACTGGGCCTGCTGGCCAGGGACCGCCCAACACCAAACATCACCGTGCATGACGCGATGAACAATATTCCTGGTGGCCTACCATTATCAGCTAATTTACTGACCCAGCAAGATCCGGGGCCATGCCGATAACCTCAGCTGATGCCTGCTTCAAGTGATGGTGGAAGACCCCACCCCCATCACATCTGTATTTCTTATTGAGGAGCTAGCTTCCAGCCCCATCACAGTGGCCAAAATAGCGAGACACTCAGTCAAGGATAAAACCTTGGCCCAAATACTAAGCTGGGTGTGGAGGGGGTGGCCAAAGGGGCCAGTTGGTGTAGACTTACAGCCATTTCACGCTCAGCAACGTGAGCTACCTGCCCAAAAGGGTTGTCTGCTGTGGGGGAATTGGGTAATTGTACCCCCAAAATTAAGGAGACAAATATTAGAGGTCTTACATGTGGAACATCCTGGCATCATCAGGATGAAGCCACTGGCCAGAAGTTACATGTGGTGGCCAAAAATGGACAGGGAAATAGCACAGTGGGTTGCCACATGTAAACCACGTCAGGAGTCCAGACCAGCACCCCCCTCTGCCCCAGTGCACGAATGGGAGATTCCAAAAGCACCCTGGTTAAGGGTGCAAGTAGATTTTGCTGGGCTGTTTCAGGGCCATACATTTATGGTCATAGCGGATGCATACTCAAAATGGCGAGAAATAATACTTATGCCCTCGACAACAGCTGGGGCAGTCAGGGTATTAAAAAGGCTATTTTCAACACACAGCCTACAAGATGTATTAATCTCAAACAATGGGCCACAATTCACAGCAACACAGTTCAAGCTCTTCTTAGCAGAGCAAGGAATCCATCATGCCCTGGTTATGCCATTCCAGCCAGCCAGTAATGGTCAGATGGAAAGAATAGTTTGATCAGAAAAAAACAAACAAACATTATCACGAATGGGCCCAGGGGACTGGCAAACAAAGATTGACAAATTCCTACTAGTCCAGCACGTAACCCCTAGCACCACCACAAACAGAAGCCCATCTGAGCTATTAATGGGTTCAGGATGGAGCTTTACCAGCTACACCCTAAGTACACAGCAGAAGTACCCATCAATTCGACCAGCCTCCTCTGGTCATTCAGTGTAGGGGACTTGGTGTATGACCACAACTATGCCGGGGGTGCTCTCTGGGTCCCTGCCAAGGTGGTAACCATTACAGGTCTCCATTCATATAAGGTAAAACTAGAGGATGGTCGACTGTGGAGAAGCCACATTGACCAATTCCAGGGCCAGTTGGGAACTTCAGTTCACTGGCAACCAGAAATAACAAACTAAAAACACCCCTTTAGAAATTGGCAAAAGTCCTGAAATCCCACCATAAGCAGACGAAAACCTGAACAATCAACGTGCACATACCTGGAGAACCAGGAATCCAGCAGAGAGCCATCAGAGAACCGGTTCCAAGTGAATCATCCACACCCAGGGCCAAGTTCCAGGTGATTCAATTGGCTGACTCAGGAGCGGCAGCATACCTGACTGACCAGACCACTGCCACTGCTCCAACTGAATTATGCAGGTCAGAGTGAGCTCACCGCAGCCCCACCTACCTGCACGACTACATCAGCTAAGCTTCTCGCTGATTGGTTAGTGTCCTGTCTAAGTGGGGAGGGGTGTTGAATATCCAAATGAAGGAGTGAAGCCAAGGAACAAAAGCTTCACTCAGGTCCGCCATTACGGCAGGAAAAATAGTTTGTCCTGATTGGCTGAGCCATTTGACAGCTCCCTATAAAAGGGGCAACCTATCAGGCAGTTGCTAGATGGTGGTTGTTTAATAAAGAGCTTGAAGTCGAAGATCAGTGTCTGCCTCTTCATTCAGCCCATAATCTAACATAGTGTTGCTTGATCAGGATCCGCATACATCCTCTCTATGATTGGTTTTCCTGGTTACCTTCTGGGAGGAGGCATTGTGATATCTGAAGCAGAACATCTAGATTCTGTAATAGCTTTGTAACATATAGTATCAACTTTGTTAACACTCAAGACTCTTCTGCTATGTATTCAAAATTGACTGGATGGATACCAAATGAGTGTGTGGGGGTGTGTGGGGATGTGTCGGTGTTTTCAGAGCGGGCATAAGAATTTCATTTTTAATGTGTACCACTGTGTACAGTGACAATAATAGTTATCTTATATTCATAAAGGCATGAAAACAGATCAAGCTTAGAGTTCTGCATTTTCTGGGCAATTTCAAAGTTGATGATCCATCATTTAAAGCTACTACTAGTGTTTGCCAGGCTCAACTGATGTCAAGAGGTTGGGGAGAGTAGTAAGACAACTTATATGGATATACAAATGGATCTGTCAAGAATCATACTAGGATAGTAGTTGATTATGGCAAGTATCTGCAGTCAGTGCTTATTCCACCTGACAAGCAGCATGTCTTGTGAGAACTACAGAAGAAAAAACCATAACTTGTTTTAGATGGAAGGAAAAAATGGAAGGAAAACTTGAATAACTCTAGAAAAAGAGATATCATCCTAATAAACGTTGAATAAAAGCATGAGTGTTGGAGAAACTAACCCATAAGTAATCTAAATTATGATATATAAATACCATTAAGAAAATATATATAATCCCTCTTTGAAAAATAAGTTCAATTGCTTTGGAAATCTCTTGTATAGGATTTTAATTTATAATCCCATTTCTGTGTCTTCCACTACCACAGAAAAAATTATGACCGTTTAGTATGGACAGAAGGAACTATATAGTAGACAAAATTCTAAGCAGGCAGATCTCAGCAATAGTGCTGGTAGAAAGGGATGGAAAAAATCCTGACTCCAAGTGAAAGGGGTGGAGGGAATCTGGGTTGTAAGAGTCATACTATGACCCTGGAAATCTATCTCAAAGAACATATTATGCCACCTGCAGGTTATTTACCAAAGACATAATAAAACACTATTATGATAGTTTCTACTCTAATAGGATGCTTTCCAGTACAGGCTCATTAGGATATAGAGCAGAATCTTTTCAAAGGACTGTAAATTCAGTCCCCATATAAATTTCAGGTATGGTCAAGAAACCCCTGAATTATTTATTTATTGGTGGATTTCATTTTTTAAAAGAATTGCTTATCAAGGATTCCCTGTTGTTTTTAGTTGTCTGTCATGTTGAAACATTTTTTTCACTACAGGAGTACACAATAGATGTTTTCTTCCGCCAAAAATGGAAAGATGAAAGACTAAAATTCAAGGGTCCCATGAACATTCTCCGACTGAATAATTTAATGGCCAGCAAAATCTGGACTCCAGATACATTCTTTCATAATGGAAAGAAGTCAGTAGCTCATAATATGACTATGCCAAACAAGCTACTACGAATCCAGGATGATGGTACTCTTTTATATACTATGAGGTATGTGCTTTTCTTTTCATTTCCTTTTCTGTTTGTATTTCCTATACAGGTAATCCCCGGATTACCAGCATTCCCTTAGCGAACGTTCAAGTCCTGAAATTATGAATATTGCAGCACCATGGCAGTTGTTCGCTCTTACAATTACTGCAGAGGCTCTCCAACATTTGCTCCGCCTATTCCCTCTCCAGCCAGGTTTTCACAGGCACTATGCCTATGGAGACTAACTTGTGAAGATCTCCTCTCTGCAGTAGTTCAAAGATTGGGTTATATTTGAATGGGGTAACCTAACGCTTTAAACTGTATTAAATGCTTCAAATAACAACATAAAAATGGGGCAGCTAACCTGAGCTAATTATTGTGTATGTCATGATCCTGTGGTACATTTGTCTCCACTTTTATCATGTAATTATTTGCTTGATTTGGTTGAAATGTCAGAAATTAAATTACCCATCAGTTTCCTCTCACTATGAAATATTTGCTTGGACTGTGAATTTTGTATCCATGTGACCTAGACTTCTAATAGTTATCAGACAAGCTATGATTTTATAATTTATATGTTGATTCAGTGAGTCTTTCCTAATAATTGTGAATAAAATATGTCTAATGTTTTGACATCATAAAACTGTTCATTGAAGGAATCTATAATATAAACCAGAAAATTGTAGTAAATTGATATTTAGTTTGATATAAGTGAACTTTGTGTTGATTCAATTAATTTTTGACAAATTGATTTTCATGATCTTAGCAGAAGATGACCATAAATTGGCATTTTCCCTTCTAGGCTTACAGTCCAGGCTGAGTGTCCAATGCACTTAGAAGATTTTCCTATGGATGCTCATTCGTGCCCATTGAAATTTGGCAGCTGTAAGTAATATTACTATAAATTCAGTCCCTATATGATAAATATATTACATTTTTTTCACATAGATTTGCCAATAATAAAAGTGTGATGGATTCTGAATGAGATCCTATTAAGATCAGGAGTGGTTCTTGGGAAATAATGAACATGGAAGAAAAAGAAATAAATAAATATACAAAATGAAAATAGAGCAATTGCAAGAAAGGAAAGAAAAAATCCTATTTGAAAAAGTAATCTAATTTTGTAATACAGTGAATGTAAAGTTTAATTTTAATGCGTCTAACAGCATAGTGAAAATAATTTTGTTATAGTGGCACAAATGTATGTGATATTTCCTAATGAAAATGCTTGAGGGAATGATGACATGAAGGAGGTTGTGGATGAGAAAAATGCTGCAAAAAGTGAATGAGATGAAAGTATTGTATAATGTATGACCTGTGAAGATAATTCATTAGTGTGGTCTTTATCTTGGGCCAGTGGCATTGTGATCTGGATAAAGAGCATCTTATTTGATCAGTCTTCTCCAGATGGTGGACCCAACTGAGTTTCAGAAGGAACTTTTGTTTTCAGAAACTCTAAATCATACTTTGACTGAGACTTTGGTCTCAGCTTTGGAATGGGCATGTGACAGAGTCTTTGGATCAGATTGCATCTATGTGCTCTCTCTCTCCCTCTCCCTCCCTCCCTCCCTCCCTCCCTCCCTCCCTCTCTCTCTCTCTCTCTCTCTCTCTCTCTCTCTCTCTCTCTCTCTCTCCAATACCAATGGCTGCAGTGCAGGGGTGGAATACGAAAGGGTTAACTACCAGTTGGGATTTATGAGCTTCCCTGCCCACTGTGAGTCACGTGCCTGTAAATCGTCATTAGCACGCTGAGTGCCGAGAAGCAGCCTTTGAAACAGCCCTCTTTTCTTGTTTTTTTAACTGCAGCTGTGCCTCCTTCGGCAGCTGAAGTTGAAAAATCAGAAAATAAAGATCAGGTAAGAGCCCTGGTGGGCAGTTAGACAAAAACATCAGCAGACATAGAACCGGTTCTATGTCTGCTGCTCTTCAGAGCTACCGGTTCTACAGAGGTAGAAACCCACCCCTGCTGCAGTGGTGAAAAATTAGAACAAGGAAATGAATTCATATATTTTGATAAACTGTTTCCAAAAATAAATGGCACTATATAAAAGCAAACTTCTGAAAGTATAAAATGTGGTAAGAGCACAACTGGATAAGCATAAAAGTTGAATGTAGTGGAAATCAGATCAGGGGTGAGGTCAGATCAGATCATTCAAAATTTTAAACAACTGGTTCTGTGGGTGTGGCTAGGTGGGCGTGGCTGGCTGGGTGTGGCTGGGTGGGTGTGGCCATGTGACTGGGTGGGCGTGGCTTTTTTTGCAGGCCCCCCTTTTTTTTGCCTCCTGGGACTCAGGAGAGCCTCCTGGGGGGCATTTTTGCTCCCAGAAGACTTTCCTGGGTGTGATGACCCGGGGCGTGGCACAAAAGCAACACAGTCACATAAGCAATAAGAGTCCCTTTATTATTTCCAACTTTGCCCCCAATGTCCAGGTTACCTTCGGGCTGGAGAAAAACTCTCCCAGGAACAGCCTTTTACTGTAGAAATTTCAGTCCAAAACAAGGTACACACAAACTGTTACTTAAAATCCAAACAAACCAAACTGAAGTAATTAGTTTGGCTGGGCAGGGCAGGAGCAGGAATTTCAGACTGGAAAGCACGGCAAAACTCACACAGTTGGGAAAATGGCAGGAACAGAGATAAGCCACGACGATGCAAGATAAAAGTCACATTTGCTCCCAACAGCCTGCTGCACGGAGCTTGCCCACTGTGTTCCCAACTGCAGCTAATGAAGGGAATCAGGGCCCTTTCCTCCCCTGTAAGCCATGCAACCCATGTTGCTCTCTTCTCCGTTCCTCCCTACGTGCCCTAGGAAGAAGAGGGTATGGGCCTATGTCTTCCTCTGAATCCCCTCCCCCTTGCTCTACCTCTCCCCTGCTCTGCCCAACCAGACTTTTCCCTTCCCCAGTTTCTTCCACAGCCAGCGGAGCTACACTCCCACTCCCTGTCAGCTGTTCGGCTTCCTCCAGATTCCGACAGGGGCAGGACACTGGGGCTCAGGAAGGCAAAAAATGGAGCCTGGAGGGGGCGTTTTTGCTCCCAGGAAGCTTCCCTGGGGCTCAGGAAGGTAAAGAACAGAGGGGGCCAGCTCCCTCTGCACTCCGTTTTTGAGCCTCCTGGGCCTCAGGGGAGCCTGCGGGGTGGCAGTTTTGCTCCCAGAAGGCTTCCCTGAGACTCAGGAAGGCAAAGAATGGAGCGGGGGGGCCTCAGCTTCCCCAGTCACCCCCCACAAGCACCCCTTTGCCTCCTGGGCCTCAGGGAAGCCTCCTGGGCGAAGCAGTAAGACAGCAAGGGGGCTCCTGGCACAGCTGATCATCGGAACAGCTGATTGTCGGGAGGGGGCAAAAAAAGAATTACCTTAAGGAGTGACTGGGTGGGGAGAACGCAGTCAGCGATGTCAGGCATGCACGCGATGTTGCGTATCCACGATAAGGACTGACTGGGAGGGGAAGGGCGGGCAGAGAGGGGCAGGGCCAGCCAGGGGCACAATTTGCCAGTTCTCTGAACTGCGCAGAATCATAACAACCGGTTCTATAGAACCAGTCCAAACTGGTAGAATCCCACCCCTGAATCAGATATTTAAATGTGTATGATGAAACAAGAAAAAAATAGATGTGACAATGAATAGGTGCAAATTGAAAGTAGATTCTATATCAAAGTGAATAACTAGTATAAAAAAACCCAAATATGGACAAACTGAGATGATTAAACTACAAATAACGGCAAAGATCATATCTGGAGATGAAAGGGAAGGCCAAGAAACACATGGATGGATCAGAAAGAGTGATGAGAATTGTGAACAGCAAAAGACAGTGCATGAATTGATTTATGGATCTGGTAGAAACAAAGATGATTTGCAAAGATAGAAAGACATGGAAAAATAAAATGAACAGTATTGATGTATAAACTGCATTTAGTCACAGGTGTCAGCAGTACAAATAGTCCTCAAGTTACATTGCTAAATGGGACTGGAATTTTTGTCATTAAGCAATGTGGTCATTAGCTGAAATATCACGTGACTTGATCATTTGTTGATGGTAATCCCAGGATTCCCCATTCCTATCATTAACTGAATCCTACCAGGTGGGCCTAGTCACATCCAAGCCTCTTTGAGATGTCACAAGAAGACTCAGGAAGAAGGCCTGGCATGGCCAGCTACAAAGGGCTGGGTTGACATGTCTCATGAGTGGGAGGAAAACAACTAAGATCAGCTGGGTACAGCAGGGTCTGCAAAGTGCAGGGTAGTGGGGGCTCTGCATAGTAGCGCTAGAGTGGCTGGCTATAATGTGGCGTTTGAGAAATCACTCAGCGGCAATAATGGTGCTGGGGCTGAAGTTGATCCCAGGGTGAAATGAGACTGCTAAAGACCCCAGACTTCTGCCTAGTGTCACGGCCTAGGATTACAAGGCTGTGCAGGGCAGGCAAAAGGGCATAGATGTGGAACAGATATGTGGGGGGGAGGGGAGGGACTGGGCATCATTACTATTCATTCAATGCTGCTGTAATTTTGAACAGACACTGAACAAACGGTTCAGAACTACTTTTATTCTATTCAAAGTGTTAATGTTTGAGCATATTAGGGTCTTGTATAGCAGAACAAATTATGGTAATCACAAACGTTCTAGCAAGTTTCTTTCCTTCAAGCACGGTATTTAATTGATAGCTTTAAATTGTTATTGATATTTAACAGAGTTGCTTACCACTGTTAAAATAAGTATAACTATCTACTTGTAGCATGGAACAGAATGTTCTAAGATATTGGAGAATATACACTGCTCAAAAAAATAAAGGGAACACTTAAACAACACAGTGTAACTCCAAGTCAATCACACTTCTGTGAAATCAAACTGTCCACTTAGGTAGCAACACTGATTGACAATCAATTTCACATGCTGTTGTGCAAATGGAATAGACAACAGGTGGAAAGCATAAGCAGTTAGCAAGACATCCCCAATAAAGGAGTGGTTCTGCAGGTGGTGACCACAGACCACTTCTCAGTTCCTATGCTTTCTGGATGATGGTTTGGTCACTTTTGAATGCTGGCGGTGCTTTCACTCTTGCGGTAGCATGAGACGGAGTCTACAACCCACATAAGTGGCTCAGGTAGTGCAGCTCATCCAGGATGGCACATCAATGCGAGCTGTGGCAAGGTATGCTGTGTCTGTCAGCGTAGTGTCCAGAGCATGGAGGCGCTACCAGGAGACAGGCCAGTACATCAGGAGACGTGGAGGAGGCCGTAGGAAGGCAACAACCCAGCATCAGGACCACTACCTCCGCCTTTGTGCAAGGAAGGACAGGAGGAGCACTGCCAGAGCCCTGCAAAATGACCTCCAGCAGGCCACAAATGTGCATGTGGCTGCTTAAACGGTCAGAAACAGACTATGAGGGTGGTATGAGGGCCCAACGTCCACAGGTGGGGGTTGTGCTTACAGCCCAACACTGTGCAGGACGTTTGGCATTTGCTAAGAACACCAAGATTGGCAAATTCGCCACTGGCACCCTGTGCTCTTCACAGATGAAAGCAGGTTCACACTGAGCACATGTGACAGACGTGACAGGGTCTGGAGACGCTGTGGAGAATGTTTTGCTGCCTGCAACATCCTCCAGCATGACCGGTTTGGCAGTGTGTCAGTAATGGTGTGGAGTGGCATTTCTTTAGGGGGCCGCACAGCCCTCCATGTGCTTGCTAGAGATAGCCTGACTGCCATTAGGTACCAAGATGAGATCCTCAGACCCCTTCTGAGACCATATGCTGGTGCAGTTGGCCCTGGGTTCCTCCTAATGCAAAACAATGCTAGACCTCATGTGGCTGGAGTGTGTCAGCAGTTCCTGCAAGACGAAGGCATTGATGCTATAGATTGGCCCGCCCATTCCCCAGTCCTGAATC